CCCCAGGCAGGACAAGATGCCGCACATGGGGTCACAGCACACCATGAGGTCACTCCAGGCCTGCTGCTGCCACTCGAGGTTGGCATTCAGCCTGCATGACAGAGTGGCATGGATGTCACACATGCTCCCCCATACTGTGGCAGGTGGCTCCAGTGGCATGGCATGACCCCCTGTACTGGCTGGTCCAGCTGTGGAGAAGGTGCAAGAAGGAGGAGCAGTCAGTCCTCCCTGTGTACACATTCCCCGTGGTTGTGTCCTCCTGTAGGAACACTCACACAGTGGGCAAGGCAGGCAAGGGAAGCGTGTGACCTAAGTGGGATCCCCTGATGAGCAGCAGAGGAGCCTTGTGCAGCCTGCCCCTCCCTGAGGGGTGCACATACAGCTGAAACTCGCTCTGCCCATATGCAGCACTCCAGAGCATATGTGGGGTTGTGCCTGCACCCTTGCGGCTTGCCTGCTTGCAGCTGGGTGCACCCCTTCTGTCCCCTGAATGAGGCTGGCAACAAGCTCCTGGGCACGTTGAGGGGCTGGCTGCTGTGGCCGCATGCTGCATCCTCCCGCTGCATGTGGTTGCACGTGCCCAGACTGCAGCAGCATGTGCTGGCCTAGCAGTCTGCGTGACGCTATGCCCCCCGCTCTCTGTGCGGCCACCTCCCCCACCCTGCATGTGTGCGCACGCCAACGTACCTAAAGATCCCTCCCAAGTCTCCTCAGAGGCCTGGGAGATGTCCAGGCTGGCAGGGACTGGCTCCAGAGAAAGGGTGACGGTCCCGCAGTCCTGATCATCACTGTCCTCCTCCATCAGGGGCTGGATCTGCCCCTCCATCTCAGGGACAGGGTCTGGGCGCTGGAGGACGGGCTGCTCCAGACTGGAGTCCACCATGATGGAGGGGGAAGAGGGTTCCTCCTCTGCCCCAAGGATGTGATGGAGCTCCTTGTAGTAGGGGCAGGTGTGGGGGGCCCCCTCTGATCCGTCGCCCATACGTAACCCTGATGGAGTGCCTTCACCTTTGCCTGGACCTGTTCCGTGGTCCAGGCAGGGTGATCTCATTCCGTCAGGGATGTGACTATGTGGGAATAGATGCTGGCATTGTGCCTTTTTGCCCATGGTTCCTGGAGTGGCAACTCCTCCCCCCACAAGGAGGGGCGTCGCAATTTCTACTCCTGACCATGCTGGTGCACGGCGCTTGCACAAAAACCTTGTAGTGTAGACATAGCCTGTATATTTATGTGCTAAAATCAATGATTCACTGAATTGAAAGTGATGCCTCAACTAACTTGTAATTGAAAACAATGCTGTTCATTCAAAAAGGTCCTTTTGTTTTTAAAACAGCAGCTACGTAAAAGCCACCAGCAAATCTTTCAGTACGGCCATTTAAAAAAAGATATCTGCATTTTGCTCCTACTACTGACAAGCATACCCAGTGATGGAAGCATAGCAGTCCAGTCTGATATTTATAGTAATAAATATCCATATTTATGGATATTCCATACTGAAAAAAACTCAGGAGCAGAATGTAGAGGTGTGGAGGCAGCACACTGGCATGGCTGTTCCACCCTTAACCCTCCCTACTCTACCTTTCAGTGAGGCTGATGTACAGACTTGAGGAGGTGCAGCTATATGGAAGCTCTGGGACCAGTATAACAATGCCGGAGGAGCTGCCAGTGTGGGACTGCCTGGCAGACCCATATTCTGCTCCTATTGCTGAGCCCTGAGTTTCAGAAGTCTTCAGTGCAATGCAAAAAGAGCAGCGGTCCCTCCGCCCCCAGGTAATGTGGGATAGCTGATGGGGAGAAGTCATGTGTGTCCCTGAATGCCCCTCCTACAAGGGCAGTGTTCCAATAAGAAACAAATTATATTTCCACCACCATGCATACCTGAATCACGAAATTGGGGTGGGCTGGAAAACAGCACATCCTGAGCATTTGGGCTTTGCATATCAACTGCTGGAGAAGTTGGCATTGGCTGTAGATCTCCTGTAGAAGTAGAGTCATCTGTTCGACGTTTTTGTGAAGGAGGAGACTGAGCATCTTCAGCGTGTGCTGTAACAAGATGAAATCTGGTAAGCAGCTATTTCACATGTTAACTGCAACCTTCTACACCAATTAATGTTAACAGACTAAGTCACAAAATAGATCATATTACAGAATGAAAAATAAATTGTTTGATATAAAATTAAAAAGCAAAGTGCAATATTTTGCTGATATGAATCTAAAGAGCAAGTATGAGATTTCAAACTAGGACAATTTAAAATAAGTGATATTGCAGTTAACTTCCTACATGCTTAAGACATCAGAGCTGCTACTACAAATGCTGTGAAAACCTGACTCATGTAGTGGTTTTCAACAGTGGACTTTTTTTGAGAGAACTTTGAGTGCTTTGAGAGAACTTTATGGGCAGCCTCCATTTTAGGGCATTCGACTTATAACGAGCGGCACTTACAATGTTTTTGAATTGACACCTTGATTTTGACTTTATGATGCTCAGATCTATAATAGAGTGGATTGCAATTCTGAGTTACATTTCAACTTATGACAACTGTTGCCAGAAAATAGCATTGTGAATCCGAGGAAAGTGAAAGTGCTGAAAGTGCTGCTGGTAAAAATCCTGAGTTGTGTCCACAGCTATGCTGGCAGAAAAGCATCACAGAAATGGAAGAGATGCACAATGAGCAGAGCTCACAAATGACATTAGTATGCTGAAAAGCAGCACTCCTCTGCCCCCTATAACTATGCTAGCAAAACCTTTTTTGTAGTGTAGACAAGACGATATAGAAAAAAACAAGTTCATCCCAGAATTAATGGCTAAACTCTTAAATTCTTGTTTCAATGATGAAAGGCTGTGTTTACCATTTCTCTCAAAGCATCAGCCCTGCAGAGTGAACACGGGTGAGAGTGAGCTAGACTCTGTCTGTTCTTGGGCATCAGCCATTAGGCTGAACCTACACTTCACAGATAAGTTTGAACCTTGTTACTACAGACAGGGATCCGAGGAAGGCACACAGGCTGCTGAGCATAGCTAGGGTTGCCAGGTGTCCGGTTTTGAACCGGAAGGTCCAGTATTTGAGCTTTCTGTTCGGGAAACAAATAGAGAAAATAGAAGTGAGACAATCCAGCTGTCCGGTATTTTCTACAGAAGATGTGATGTCGATTGTGCTGATGTCGTGTCAAGCGAGTCCGGTATTTCTGTTGAAGCCATGTGGGACCCCTAAGCGTAGCTAGGCGCAGGGAGACCCAACCCCAGGTGCAAGACGCCGCTAAGCGGGCAGCTACTGCCCCCCGCGCAGGGGGGGCTCCCACCGCCCGGAAAAGCCCCTTCTCCCAGGGCAGGCGGTGCCCAAGCCACGGGGCTACTGCAGCGGGGCTACCGGG